CATTTTGTAGCTAGTCATATAATAACATAACCCACATTTCTTAGCCAGCCATATAATAACATAACTCACATTTCTTAGCCAGCCATATGATAACATAACCCACATTTCGTAGCTAGCCATACAATAACATAATACACATTTCGTAGCTAGCCATATAATAACATAACCCACATTTCTTAGCCAGCCATATAATAACATAACCCACATTTCGTAACCAGCCATAGAATAACATAACCCACATTTCTTAGCCAGCCATATAATAACATAACCCACATTTCGTACCTAGCCATATAATAACTTAACCCACATTTCGTAGCTAGCCATATAATAACATAACCCACATTTCGTAGCTAGCCATATAATAACATGACCCATATTTCTTAGCCAGCCATATAATAACATAACTCACATTTCGTAGCTAGCCATATAATAACATAACCCACATTTCGTAACCAGCCATATAATAACATAACCCACATTTCTTAGCCAGCCATATAATAACATAACTCACATTTCGTAGCTAGCCATATAATAACATAACCCACATTTCGTAGCCAGCCATATAATAACATAACCCACATTTTGTAGCTAGTCATATAATAACATAACCCACATTTCGTAGCTAGCCATATACCAACATAACCCATATTTCTTAGCCAGCCATATAATAACATAACTCACATTTCGTAGCTAGTCATATTATAACATAACCCACATTTCGTAGCCAGCCATATAATAACATAACCCACATTTCGTAGCTAGCCATACAATAACATAACCCACATTTCTTAGCCAGCCATATAATAACATAACCCACATTTCGTAACCAGCCATAGAATAACATAATCCACATTTCTTAGCCAGCCATATAATAACATAACCCACATTTCGTAGCTAGCCATATAATAACATAACCCACATTTCGTAACATGGTCTGTTCATTCTTTTCTAGTATTTCTTCAAGAAAGGGACTGAACAAAGGTTTTAAAAGAGACCGATTAAATCAACGTCATTTTTATTTTTATACCATTGAAATCTCTAAGAATACTTCAAAACCCCAATTTATTCCAACGAGGAGTTTGTTTCTATAAATTTCAATTGCCAAATTTAAAGTTTTTTATTTCCTGAATTGTTACGAGGTATACGTTAGCCTGCAAAATAGCATAAGATGATGGTTGTTATCGACCACATTAACAAGTCTTTAAAAGAGCCTTATTACTAGTAGTATAAATTCACTCCAATACAGTGTGTAATTTTATTTTATTTTTCAAAATATTAAAAAGAACGAGAAGATAAATTTGGAAAATCATCAGACTAGAATAATTTATAAAAAATAAAAGACATCGAAACTAGGTTGCTGTGAATGAATTTAAATATTCTATAGCTTCTTTGTTTAAATTTTACGAATACTTTTAATTCACCAAAAGGAAAATATTTTTATCGTCTTCAAGTTCATTCGGTGAAAAGAAATATCTTAAATCGTAAATGATTTATTAATAGTACACATTTTATTTCCTTTATCTCGAGGTTCTTATGTACCTTTCGTAAGCACTATAAATTAAAATACCTAAAATATTAAACTTTAACTTTTCATATTATTGCAAAAAATAATTTTCATATGAGTACTTATGTATATGTTTTGAACATTTCTGATTACCAAGTATTTAAAATGCTCAGGTAAAGTGCTAAGACTTGTTCAAGTTACTCGTTAGCGTTTGTTGAAGGTATCTAAGTTTATAGCAAAATGTTATTAACTTAACAAAACATCACTTCATGAGCATAATGTTTAACACTTTTCATTATTTCTGCAGCTCATTTGTTTATGACGTTTGATTAATCTACAATATACATGGTATCATTCTACAAGTATTTTTCAATTAACACAACATATGTATTTGTATTTTATTGTTATATCAAGGTAATGGTTTCACAAAGTTTTCTGCTGACTCTGACTAACACGTAAGAAATAACCTCAAGGAAGACTGTACGACTGAAGCTATGTTGCACTAAGAAACTAATCTTATTATCTTACAGGAACAATGCTATAAGGATAACGTTAATTCTTCAAAATGAATCTTAATTACCGGCTAGAACGATACTAAAAGCACAACGCTCTTTCTGAACACCTATCTTATTGGTTCCCCAGCACTCCAATGTTCCGTAGTCGTCCCTCGTCTTCAGGGTGTACGTGGCTGTACTTTCTAATTGGTCCCTTGTGTATACTATATCATCAACCTGGCTGGTGGGAGTGATTAAACGCCAGTGAAAAGTGATGTCTGGTGGGTCAGCGTCTAATGCACATTTCACTTGAACAGTTTCACCAATGGATACTCCATAGGATCTTCTCTGGGGCTGGCACGTGGGAGCATCTACAAAAGAATTATCAGTTTGTAGAAATATCATAATAACGAATATAATATATATATATATGTGTGTGTGTGTGTGTAGTAGTAGTAGTAGTAGTAGTAGGTCGTACAAAGAAATTAATGTTACGTTTTATT